ATGTATATAAGCAATCGCCTAACAATAAAATTTTGAGGCTTGATCAGAACACTGTCTTGCCTCCATTCTGCGTGTCTCCTGTCTCTTTCTCTCTCTTGGTCTCTCTCTCTCTCTTTTCACCAGCAGCAGGTAGTCCTCCTCGTGCCCACGTTTTACTTGTCCCGCTGGTCGGGACACATAAAAAACTATCAAAAATCAATGACAAAGAAACCTGAAAGCAGCAAGAAATAAGTATACATTACATACAAGAGTCTAAATGGAGCTATCAGTGGATGTCTCAATAGAAATCATGCAGGCCAGGAAAGAGTGGAATGATATACTCAAAATACTGAAGAAAAAAATCCTGCCAACCCAGAATACTTTACTGGCTAACCTATACTTCAGAAATGAGGGAGAAATAATAATTTTTCTAGAAAAAAACAAACAGCAAAGGGAGATTACGATCAGTAGGCTTGCCTTATGGGAATTACTAAAGGGAATTCTTTAAGCTGTATCAAAAGTTCATGAATCAAAAAAATATTTAAAAGTGCAAATTTTTAAAAAATGCTAACAGTCATATTCAGAATAATCTACTGAAATAGTTGTGCAATAACCAATTTTATCTCTTGTTCAGTGGTTAACAGATGAATCTATTAAAAATAATTGTCATAGGATAGAAATTACAAAATGATATAAGTTCTGCTATCAAAAACAAAATGAGAGAGGGAAAGTAAAAGTGTAGAGTTGTTATATGCAATCAGTTATTGGCTTGAGATAGACAGTTATAAGAATATGTTTTATATAAGCTTCATGGCAAACATAAAAGAAAATCTATAGTAGATGGACAAAATATAGCTAGAAAATAATGAAAACAAACCACTACAGAAAACTATCAAACCACAATGAAAGACTGCAACAAAGAAAGTAGATACAAATCAACCAGAAAAGGAATTACATAATAGCAGCAGTAAATCCTTACCCAATGATAATTACTCTGAATGAAAATGGATTAAATTATCCAATCAAAAGACAAAGACTAGTCCACTACAATAAAAAAAAAATTCAACTATATCCTGCTTACAGGAGACCAGTCTCACTTTAAAGGACACATGCAATGAAAATGAAGAGATGAAAAAAGATATTCTATGTAAATAAAAATCAAAGACTACAGGGCAAGCTATACTTTTATCAGACAAAATAGATTTCCAGTCAAAAACTGTAAACATAAGACCTGAAATTGTAAACCTACCTAAAGGAAACACAGGGGAAAAGCTATAGGACAGTGGTCTGGGAAATGATTTTTTTTTAGATTTGACTCCAAAAGCTTAGGCAACAAATATAAAAATTGAAAAGTGAGATTACATCAAACTGAAAAGTTTCTGCACAGCAAGGGAAGCAACAGAGTAAAGAGACAACCTATAGAATTGAATGTAATATGTGCACACTATACATTTGATAAAAGGGATTTAACTTCCAAGATATGTGTATATATATATATATATATATATATATATACATACATAACTCAAAAAACAAAACAAAAAAATCATCTCAATAGCAAGAAAACATCCTGATTTAAAAAATGGGCAAAAAACCTGAATAAAAAAATATTTCTCATACAAATGACCATCAGATAAATTTTTAAAATACTTATTATAATTGTTAGGGAAGTGAAAATTAAATCTCACATCTGTCAGAACGGCTATTACTGAAAAGATGAAGATGATGAAAGATTAGTATGAGAGAGGATGTGGAGAAAAGACAACCGTAACACATTGTTGTTGGCAACATAAGCTAGTACAGCTAATAGGGAAAACAGTACAAATGCTCCTCAAAAAACCAAAAAGAGTTACCCTATGATTCAGTAATCCCACTTCTGGGGTATATATCTAAAGGGTTTGAAATCATTATGCTAAAGAGATATCTAAACTCTGATTTTTATTGTGGCATTATTCATAACAGCCAAGTTATGAAATAACCCTAAGTATGAATCAATCAATCAGTAAAGAAGTGGTATGTATACAAAAAGGAATACTATTTAGTCTTTAAAAAGAAGACATTTATGTCATTTGTGACAATATGGATGAATCTGGAGGAAATTATGGGAGGTGAAATAATCCAGGCAGAGAAAGAAAAACACTGTGTGTTTTCACCTACATGTGAAAATCTAAACAAATGTAGATTTGTGGAATCTTAAAAAATCAAGCACAAAGAAGTAGAAAGCAGAATAGTGGTCACTAAAGGATTGGAGAGTGAGGAGAATGGGGAGATGTTGGTCAAAGAGTATGATTTTTCAGTTACCCAGGAGGAATAAACACTAAGTATTTGAGGTAATAAAAAAAATAAACAAAAATAACTAAAATCAGGGCCATTAAAACACACATGCAACTGAAAACATAGCTTAAAAATAAATAAAGCAAAGACTGATAAAATTAAAGGAGCAATGAGAAATCCAAAATTATAGTTAGAAAATTAAGACCTACTCTATCAGTTACTGGTGGAATAATACACAGAAAAACAGCAAGGAAAAGAATAGTTCACAACATTAATTGACAAGTATAATCAACTCAGCAACAGTGGAAGACATATTTTCAAGTACACATGGAAAATCCACCCAGATAGACCATATTACATTCTAGGTCATAAAATAAATTTTAATAAGTTGAAAAGGACTAAAATCACACAAAATATGCTCTCTGATCTAGGTAAACTAGTAGATATCAGTAGCAGAATATGTGAAAAACCATAAAAAGTTTGGGGATTAAACAATAACCATGTAAATAACCAATGTGTCAAAGAAGAAATCAAAATGGAAATTTTAAAATATTCTGAAATAAATAAAAATGCAAACAAATACAAATTTGTGGGATGCAGATAAAGCAGTGCTTAAGAGCAGTTAATAGAAAGAAGAAAAGTCTAATATTAATGATCCAAACTTACATCTTAAGGAGTTAAAAACAAAGCAAATTAAGCACAATGAAGGAAGAAAGAAAATAATAAAACCAGTGCAGCAGTCAATAAAATAACAAATAGACAACAGAGAAAATTAATAAAACTAAAACGAGTATTTAAACTTCAATTTCCAGCTGTTCTTTGCTACATAAAAGAACATAATTAATGTTTATATAGTGATCTGTTACCTTGTAGTCTTACACTAGCTCTAGTATCTTTTTGGTTAATTTTTTAATATACAGCCAGGTCTTTTGAAAATAAAGATAGCTATTTTTATTTCTTCCCCATTTTATGCCTCTTTCTTTCTGGGGGAAGTGAGGGAGGGAGGTTATTGTAAATGGCTAGTACATCTTAGTAAAACGATAAGTAGAAATCATGAGATAAGTAGAAATAATGAGTCAGCATTCTTGCCTTGTTTTCAATCATGGGGGGAAATCTTTCAATATTAAATATGAAATTAAGTTCAGATATTGGCATAAATGTCATTTATTAGATTTAGGACACAAAAATCCTTAACAGAATATTTTCAAATAGAATCAGTAAAATATTAAAAATAGATAATACACCATGAATAAGTTTATCTCAAGAATACAAGTTTGGTTTAACATATAAGAATCAATGAATATAATTCAGCATATTAACAGAATACAGGAGAAAAGTCAATTATCTTTACAGATGCAGATAAGAACTTTCAGAGCATCCATTGATAATAGCATCCCAAATAGTACCTAGGAATAAATTTAGCAAAATATGTGCAAGTTTTATACAATTAAAACTATAAAACATTAGTGACAGAAATCAAAGAACAACCAGAGAGATATAGAGTCCACTGGTAGGAAGACTCACTATTGTTCAAATATCACTTCTCCCCAGTTTGACTTACAGATAAAATAAAATCTCAATCAAAATCCCAGCTTGCATTTTTACAGAAATTGATAAGCTGACTTTAAAATGTATATGGAAATACAGAAGTTCCAGAATCACTAAAAGAATTTTGAAAAAAACTAAGGATCTGATAGCAAAACTCACTATAAACAGTAGTCAGGCTGGGTACGATGACTCATGTTTGTAATCTCATACTTTGGGAGGTGGAAATGAGAAAGGACTGCCTTAGCCTAGGAGTTTGAGAGTAGCCTGGACAACATAGCTAGACTTCATCTCTACAAAAAAATTTTTAAAAAATTAGCTGGGCATACTTGGAAGGCTGAGGTGGAAGGATCGCCTGAGTCCAGCAAGTAGAGGCTGTGGTAGCCAATGCACTCCAGCCTGGGCAACAGAATGAGACTTCAACTCAAAAAAAAAAAAAGTTTCTCTAAGACATTTAGACTCCTAATCTAAAAGGTTTATTTTTGTTGAAAAGTCCTATATATCTTAATTTTGCTAGCTGCATCACTTGTAAGTGTCTAACCTAGTCAGAAATATCACTTCTACTTCATTTTTGGGGTTTTCCAGGTATGGAAGAGTCACAGTCTCCCTTCATGTGGAAAAGAGCCATTAATAAATGGCAAACAGCCCAAATAAAACCATTTTATTGTGCTCAAGTATTATGTTCAAGGTTTCAGGAGTTTCTGTCAGTAACTCTTTTTTTCTCCTTTTTGTGATTCTATTAAGAAAGAAAATTTGGAGGCCAGGCACAGCACTGTAATCCCAGCACTTTGGGAGGCCAAGGCAAGAGGACTGCCTAAGCCCAGGAGTTTGAGACTAGCCTGAGCAAGATAGCGAGACCTCCTCTCTACAGTAAATAAAAAAATTAACTGGATATAGTGGTGCACGCCTGTCCTTCCAGATTTGAAAGGTTGAGGCTGAAGGATGGACTGAGCCCATAAATTGAGGCTGCAGTAGCTGTGATCATGCCACTGCACTCCAGCCTGGATGACAGAGTGAGACTCTGACTCAAAAAAAAAAAAGATACAGTAATCAAAACAGTATGGTGGTAGTGGTAAAAGGTAGACTTAGAGATCACTGGAACAAAACTGAAAACCCAGAATAGACCACACAAAGATGATCAATTGAGTTTTAACAACTGTGCCAAAATAACTGCACTGCAACTGAAACACTCACTGCAAATGGGAACATAATATGGTACTACTCTGAAAAACAGTCTGGCATTTTTTAATACTGTAAAACACAATTGCCACCTAACCTAGCAATTTCATTCCTAGATATTTCCCAAAAGAAATGAAAACATGTCTATATGAATACTTATACAAAAATACTCACTGCAGCTTAATCCATATTAGCAAAGACAACATCCCAAATGTTCACCATTATGCAAATAAACAAACAGACTGTAATATAGACATAGAGTGAAATCGCACTCAGCAACAAAAAGGAATGAACTGCTAACATACAACACGGATGAAACTCAAAAATACTGTGCTAGGCAAATGAAGGTACTTTAAAAGAATATATTCACTATGATCATGTTTATATGAACCTCTAAAAAAAGACAAATCTAGCCTATAGTGATAAAAAAAAAAAACAGTGGTTGTCTTGTATTGTTAGTACCAAATTAAATGTTCAAAGACACAAGGGAACATTAAAGGATGATGTAATTATTACACATTTTGATTATAGCAAGGGTACATGACCTTAAAAATTATCCAAACTCACCACAGCACTACATAAATTCAGAACAAAGTCGTTCTGATAATGTAATGCTTTTACTACCAAAAACCTAAAAGCTCTTCTAAACTAAAATAAAAAATCTCATAATTAGTTTTCTTTTTAATTTTGCTTCAGTTGACAAAACAAATGGAGTTCTTTCTATAAGAGACACATAACAGATGAATAGAATGGCTTGTGTATCAGATCAGATAAATCACTCTGGCTCATTTGGACTCAATAAGTGCAAAAAAATACAAAAAGCATTTGTGTAGATCAAAACTGTTCTCTCATTCATTGCTTTAGCTTTTATGTAATGCCATCCTACCTTATAAGAGAATCACTTCGCTTATCAGCTCTAACAAGGAGGACAACTTTCCATCTGTGGAAGGCTCCTGGAGCACCAGTACGTTTCAGTTCTTCACGCCATCTCTTAGGTGCAGATTGCATTTGAGGTGAATAATGGGAGTCCTTTTCAATTTTATATCCCCATTCATAAGTTGTTTCATCAAGCCATCTGCCGCTTTTGGCACTATGAATTATGTAGTCCTTTGTTAGTACCCACTTTCCTAGAAAGCAAATGAATCGTCAGTCACAAAATAATTTTGATTCTGATAAATGATAAACAACAAAGATCAAATATTATATAAAAGCCAATCTTTTTAAATGAGACTTTTAAGTCTCATGCTTAAGTTATATGTCAATATTATCTTTGACCTACATTTTTTCAAGAATTTTTGATAGTGAGAGGCTTACGTCACTGAACATTGTATATATTCCTTTCATGACAAAAAACTCCAAATGTTACTAAATAAAACATAAATCTAAGATCTTAAAATCCAAAATAAAATGTGGCATTACTTGAATTATTAGTATTATTATTCACTATTTTAGGTCAGATTTAACTTTTCTTCTTATGCTACAACTTTTCCAATAACGTCCACAGCACTATTGTATGCTGTAAAACAAATTTTATTGAGTTAGAGCATTTTTCAGGGCCTTTAATAATGGTTTCTATATCTGGGCATCAATGATCTTTTTAAACAGCATGGACAATGTAAGTTTCTATTTGTGAAGTTAATAATGACTCCATGTGTTTTTCTGGTAAGTTAATCTAAAAAAATGTGAGAATTCACCTGAGTTACATATACTTACCTTTTTCTTCCTTTTTTTTTTTTTAAAAAAAAAACCAATAAATAAAATAATGATACAGAAAGTGACAGGAATATCAATAGTGATAAAGCTATCAAGGAGAAGAATAAGTCCAAATTTGGGCTTACAGAATTTAATCTCCTAGAAAAATGAAACAGCACAACCACTGCTTTATAACACAAATAGAAGTGAAGCAGTAGAGAAAACAAAAACACTATTTCCAATGACAGATCAAAGAAAATAAACTTGAGTGAGAACAGATGAGGTTCCAACAAGAGCTTAAGTTTTTGACATCTTGGGCCAGTCTTGTTAAAGCAGTTTTTCTTAAATAAAGCATTTATACTAAAACTTTAGTGAAAAAAATATTTCTGCCTATTTAATACATTTTTCACGAGCTACAGAATTCTACTCAGATAATAAAGAAAAAATATATCAAACAAATATTTTCAGAAAAAAATACATGTATGTTTGACATAGGAAATATGCTACCTTCCCAGAGACTAAGATACTTTTCCTTTAACAAGATTTTTTTTTTAAAGGATAGAGGAAGGCAGTTAACTTACCTGCTGCACAAGCTGCTAAAAATTTTTCACTCTTACATAGGCGTTCAGCTATAAGATGTGTACAGTTTTTATATTTCTGGAGAGAAAAATCCACATAAATTTTACTAAGGTAAGATTTCCTTTACAACGTATTCTTTTTATTCTGACAATATTGGGGGACATTTTTATCATTCTTAGGTCATTATTTTAATTCTAGTTATTATTCAACTACACACTGAATATTTTGAAAAGAAGTTTCTATACTCACCTCACTTTTAATAAACGTGCAATCTAATTTTAAAAGCAATTTGCCTAGGGCTTCCTTTTCCTCCATCTTAAATCCTGTTATCTGGATGATATGCTTTGGGCCATCATCTTCCATCTAACATATATACACACAATGAAAATAACATATGTTAAAGATATTAATCACAGGGTGACATTATTATTTCTTCTTAACTACGATGTTAAAAATAAAAACTAAAACCATTAAACACAAAATGAATTAAACTTGTAAGGATTCATTGTCAATACAAATGCTAAAATTACTTAAAAACAATACATATTATTAATAATAACATAGTACTAGCTTGATTCTACAAGTACTATTGTTTGCTAAGAGCTTTTGAAATAAGTACATTTGTGAACAATGAAACACTCCAATTTTAAACTCATTTTTAAAGTGTCTGTCTGCAGATGATATTAAAGGATATGTATCAGTCACTGGAGAAGTTAGTAGAATTCATGGTCCCACAGCATTTATATCCAATAATTTAGTACAATAAGTACACATAATGATCCTAGATTACTATTCCCAATCTACATTTCTTAACTTTGCTATATATATGTTAATTTCAGCACTTACAAAGTAGGCTGAACTGCATGGTTTTTAATCTAAGTTTATTTTCATAGGGATCTTAATTCATATTTAAATGCAATTCACAAAGTACTTTGTGTTTGGGGGTATATAACTTACAGTGTTTCTAATTAGAATACAATTTTGTTTGTTTACATGAGGTTCAACTGTAGAACAAGGTAACATCTTAGAGAAAAACTCTTTCCCTTTACAGACAAGGAAAGCAATGGGGGTAATTTTTTATTTCTCTAACAATTTTGTCAGCAAAGCTGTGGATTAATATTTAATTAAAGCTATAGGCAGAACAACAGCAGTAGCTATTTTCAACAACCAAAGAAACACTGGCATCTTTTAACACAGAAGTAAACTTCAAAAACAGTAAATATTTGAAACTAAGACTAATAGCATACAACTGGTGATAAGAAATGCTCTTTATAAAAATTCTTTTTTCAAAGACTAAAATATACACCACATACTTAAATATGTGAATGTATTTGTTAATATAACTACATTCATTTTAGAGTAAAAATTGAAAAGAGTCTCATTATAAACAATTTAAAGCATTACTCAGGAGTGAACTTTTACTTCCCTTGCTAGAGTTTCTAAGAGGAAGAACTTCAACTAGAGTAATAAATAGTACTCCTGGTTTCTCTCTCTTCCCTTCATCCCCATAACCAACCCCCTCCCAAGTTGTCCTTGAGACAAATGAACGGGTATGCTCTGCTCAACAAGTCGACCTGCACTTATTGTGTGGGTAAGTTAACTCAGAGATTATTAAATAAGCACACTGATGTTGCAAATCAAAGCCATCTGCTTCAAAACAATTTTTAATCAGTAAAAAGCTGATATTTTGACCTCAATATATCTGATTTTTATATTTTTCAGCTGGTTCTCAAAGAGGCAAAGGGGATAATATATTAACCCTCTAAAGTATTAAAATTCAAATATAGAACATAAGAAGCCTTTAAGAATAAGGCTCTTCAGTGAAACAAATGCTTAAAGAGTTACAAAAATTTGATCTCATAAGTATAAAATTATATAGTGTGCATAAGAGGGGATTGTCGCTTATGAAAAATTAATTGTATATGTAAAATACTATCATCAGTAAATAAAATGAAAGTAGCTACTTATATAAGAAACTCTTAGCCGGGCTCGGTGGCTCAGCCTGTAATCCCGTGCTTTGGGAGGCTGAGGTGAGTGGATTGCCTGAGCCCGCGGGTTCGAGATCCGCCTGGGCAGCGAGACCTCATCTCTACAATAAATAAAAAAATCAGCCGGGCGTGGTAGCGTGCGCCTGTAATTCCGGCTACTTGGAAGGCTGAGGCGGAAGGATCCCTGGAGCCCAGCAGGTCGAGGCTGCGGTGGCCAGGAGCAGCCACTGCACTCCAGTCTGGGCAACAGAGTGATACTCCAACTCAAAAAAAAAAAAAAAAAGGAACTCTTTACTGTATAAATTATTCAATGTTTTAAGCCATTTACATCAGCTAAATAACATAGCTTGAGTGTTAATACCCATTAATACAGATGTTATAAATAATAATTTATTTAATAAATTAAAATAATTAAATAAATTAATAAAAATGTCATGAGACATAATCTGTTGCTAGAAATAATAATGATTTAGTATGATGCAGAACATATATAAATACATACAATAAAGCCATGTGTATTATAAAAAACATGATGCTGCCAGGTGTGGTGGCTTATGCTTGTGATCCTAGCACTTTGGGAGGCTGAGGAGAGAGGATTGCTTGAGCCAAAGAGTTTGAGAATAGCCTAGGAAACATAGTGAGGCCTCGTCTCTACAAATAATCAAAACATTAGCTGGGTATGGTGGCACATGGCTGTAGTCCCAGCTATTAGAAGGCTGAGGCAGAAGGATCATGAGTCTAGAAAGGAGATCAAAGCTGAGGTGAGCCTTGATCCTGCCACTGTACTCTAGCCTCGGAAACAGAGTGAGATTCTAACTTAAAAAAAAAAAGAACCATGTCCATAACTAGGGAGAAATGTTGCACTCATTATTTCTAGGGAATTATTTTAAAATATCCTTTAAGCAATTCCTTTAGAAAATGACAGATCTTTTCAGAAATACTAGTCAAGTGCAATTCAGTTTATCTCTGAATATCACCTTAGTTTTTATAGTTCTCAAAAGCCACTATTATCAGGAATATAAGTGTTTTAAACATTTATACTTTCCCTACCACTTGTATTCTACTTATATATTTAAGAGTTCCAAAAGCTATTTAGTAGGCTACTTCAAGAAATGTTGCCAAAGAAAAAGTTTGAGTGATTTTAAAAAACCTAACATCTTGCCTACTTGGTTATTCTAAGATACTGATAGATAAAAACTAATGTTAAATAGTCTGAGTATACAGAAAGCAATGAAAAATTAAAAATTGCTGTAACACTATCTCTCAAATTTTATTATTCTGCTTGCTGAGAATTAAATGTTATGTAGAAATACAAGGAAAAAGTCTATCATACTACGTTCATCTTTTCAGATTAAGCTAATAATAGCTATTTTGTAATTTGAATATTTATTAACAAGCTAACATTTTAACATATTTTGGTTTCATGTATAAATTATTAAATTATTTGGATTAACTGGAGTTCATATATAAAGCAAAGTTTTCATCTTAAACCACTGTCTTTATAACGATATAAAAATGATGAAAATAATCCACGCTGTACATTTAACATTTTCTATCAAATCAAGAGCCCACAGTATAAAATGACAATAAGATGAACTGTGTATAATAGTAGAAATCAGGAAAGCCTTTTTAAAGCAATTTCTTTCCTTTGAAAATGATTAAATATGAAACTGAAATCAAACATGCCGAGGAAAGGGAAGAAACAAATGTGAAAAAAAATAAGACATCTTGATTCAAGCATTATGCAAATACAGATCTGTTTAAAAACAAATCAGAATACAGGACATTTATTCACAAGTTTATCAGAAAAACTGGGCTATTAGCTAAACTTTCACAGAATTGTGAATCCCAGTGATGGCACAAAACAACCAGCATAGTTTTATAATAGCTTTCTATGATAAAATGTTCTACTTGAAGCAACAGAATTTACAATACATTTAGCAATGCTTTTTATGACTTAAGCCCACAGATCCAATTCATACAGTTACACGGGAAAACTGAAACCTATGTATGCAGGAATAGACATAGACATGTACACATATATTGATAGATTTATTTATCTTTTTCAAAGTCATGGTTTGCAGATTCTTCCTGACCCTGCAAGATTTAGACAATAAACAATAGCTTGATATGCGAATGAGACCAAAGAAAGTACTATAAAACCTGTTTTAGGACATATCAAAAACCCAGATAATTAAAAATTCTTTAAAAATATGGTCAAGTTTTGTATAGGTGATATGTTATGGGGTATAAAGGATCAAGAGCTAACTTCTAGAAGTCTTTCAGCACAAGAGAGCAAATATGCCACAATGTAATTTTATCAATAGTATTCCTAGGAAAATTATAGATCGTTCTAAAACGTATAGGGGGCATTCCCCGAAGCATCCACACAAAAGATATTATACAAACACAAAAAAAGGGAGGAAAAAAGCAAAAAAGAGCACTTCTTTTGACAGTTACTGCAAAAAATTAAAAATTATACTGCATTCTTAGTTCTAAGAAAATGTTCTTTTGTAGTAATATTTTTAAACTTTTGCAGTAACTTAAAAAATTAATTACTTACCTTGAACCATATAATACAAATAAGGAGATAATGACTGTGAACAGAGCTGGCCTTTATGCATATAGCAAGCAACTGTCTCTGTGGTATGGACTTTCCCAAAATATCTCCCACATGGGCCCATCCCTGATGCCTGAAATTCCTTTGCAGTTGGTGCCAGTCAGAAATGCAAATAAACCCTATAGCACTCATCATCTTAATTGAGAACATTTTATTATAAACTAGCTTTTTAGGTCCTTTGAATTCTTTACAATATAACACATAACTAGCACATGTCTGAATACACATTACGTTGAAAACTGAACTCAAGAGAAAAGTAAAGGCAGGAATACAGACATGAATACAAAGGTCTGGTATGGGAGCCATGATGAAACAGCAGGGTACAAACCTTAAGAAAAGAAAGTGCCAAAGAGGCAACAATGCTTAAAGAGACTTTTATAGGATAATAAGAATAGACTTTTCCTACTCTGCATTACACTTTCTTTTACAACCAGTCTTACATACAAAAAGAACTTTGAGTCTATAAGGCAGCTTAGAAATAATTTGTATGTTATCATTAACTACAATGAATAAGGGACTCACTAAAAAAGCTTAGTTTATGTATTTATATTTAATAACTAAAGTTTTCCTCCCCCCCCAAAATCCTTAGTTTTGTCTTTTCATTTTAATTAACATATGCTAATTACAGAAAATTTGAAAAATACTTCAAATATACAGAAGACTAAAATCATCTCTAATTCCTTCAGCCTGGTGTTACAGTTAACATTTTTGGGGGGGAGGGAGTTGACTTTCAGGTTTTGCGTGAAAAAATATATATCACATATATATTACATAGTTCCATATCTTAATTTTTACGTAAAATTTGTCATAATCATTTTTCCATGCCACTTAATATTCTTTATGGTTTTAAGACCACTTGATGAAAACTAGTGCTTTCTCAATTTTCGTTATTTAAGTGAACTATTTTGATTTTAAACCTACTTCTACAACAAACTAAACAAAATCACTTGAAATTCTTCTGAAAAACATATACAAAGCACTGAATGCAATCAATATTGTTGGTTTGAATTAAGGAGTATAAGATTTTCATGATTTCTCTTATCTAAAACATTTAACTCATAAACGAAGAAATGCTAAAACTGAAAAGGGTGAAAGTGTCAGATTTGTTTTAATCAATATTGCAAAAGGTAGACATATGTCACAGTACTTAGCTGTGTGAATAAAATACTGTTTGGCTCTGAACACTATAACTTCAAGTGGAGTTTGGGAATTCTGGCTCCTCTAGGATTGGTAACCAAAGTAGGCCCTTGGTTTAATTTCATTCAGCTGCCCTTTGGAATTCGCTTTTTTTTTTTGAGTTGGAGTCTCACTCTGTTGCCCAGACTGGAGTGCAGTGGCCTCGACCTGCTGGGCTCCGACGATCCTTCCACCTCAGCCTTCCAAGTAGCTGGAACTACAGATGCACGCTACCACGCCCGGGTAATTTTCTTTTTTGATTTATTGTAGAGATAAGGTCTCGCCAAGTTGCCCAGGCGGGTCTTGAACCTTTTTTTTTTTTTTTTTTAAAGATACAATATCTATTTCCTGCCCCATCCTTCAAAGATAAATGTAGTATATACATATGCATATCGTGTGCACATATGTGTATTTGACAGACATCTCCAGTCACTGATGAGGGATATTTTTACTTCCATGGCATTATTTGGGAACAAAACAGTCCCTTTGATGGTAAATTTAGCAGTTGAGGGATGAAATGGAGAACTAGCAGCAAAGTAACTGAGGTGAGAAAGACATATGAGATTCCAATCTACTCAATATTGTATAAGGCACAGGCTGGACAGATGTTAGTTTAGGGACCAAGGGTTCCTTAAGGAATCAAGGTAGACACGAGGGACGAGGTTCAGAGAAAAAGAATTGAACAGTAGATACTGGTTAGCCACAGAGGATGAAAGTCAAACTTGTTTTGGTAACCGAAGAATTTTGTATTATTTCTTAGCAAGGAGGAACATAAGCCTAAGGTAGAACTAAGATTTAATTTTTATTGAGGACCTACTCTGGTCAATACACTTCTTGTATGTTAGCTCATTTCCTTCTTCACAACATAAGTGCTGTTAATTCTTATACAGATGAGGATATTGGGAAATCTCAGTGATTAAGAAACCAGCTCCAGTGATAAAGAAACACAGCTAGTATATGTTGAAACCAATAATCAAAGATAAGTCAGTTTCTGCAAAAACAATACGAACCTCACTTAAATTTCAGAATTTAGTCTAATACTTGTAATCACATTATAATTTTACAAAGCAGTCTATTTTCAGCTAGTACAAGAGAAAGATATATTACATGAAAAAAATCTATGACACCATGACAGTACCAGGGTAGGGAGAATCAGCAATATTACTGAAAATGCTTATACATAAATATTTTCAGAAAAATAACACCAATGTCTAAAAGTTTAAAGCATTTCTAAAGAGTGCCATTTTTTTTTCCTTACGGAAAAGACAAAGTTTTCATTATTTTTCTCTCAAAATGGATTTGGTAATCAATGAATCATTAGAGTAATTCATATGGGCTTTCATCAAAAATAATAATGTTCTTTAATTTCAAAGTCATTTGAACAGAAAATATACAGGTGAACTTAAAAGTTCCGAGTTTATTTTACTTTTAAGCAGCAATATGTTCTTACAAGGTGAGAAATAGTACATAGTACATTTCACAGAATGTTACTTTCTATTAGTATATCTTAAGAGTCAATTATAAGAATAACAGCAGGCCAAGGCTGCAGTGGCCGGGAGCGGCCACTGCACTCCAGTCTGGGCGACAGAGTGAGACTCCAACTCAAAAAAAAAAAAAAAGAATAACAACTAACGTTCAATTTTAGTTATATTTCTGAGAAAAAGAGTTATTCACTTTGTTTTGGTTTTATTTTCAAAGCCTACATGAAATTGTTGACTATACTTTAAAAAAATGTTTTGCTTTGGGCAGGGCACAGTGGTTTATGCCTGTAATCCCAGCACTTGAGGAGGGTGAGGTAGGCAGATTGCGTGGACACAGGAGTTCAAGACCAGCCTGGGCAACACAACAAAACCTTGACTCTACAAAACATTCAAAAAAATCAGCCGTGCATGGTGTCGCATGCCTGTAGTCCCAGTTACTCTGGAGGCTGAGGTGGAAGGATTGTCTGAGCCCAGGAGGTGAAGGCTACTGTTAGCAGTGCCACTGCACTCCAACCTGGGGGACAAAGACCCCAATTAAAAAAAGTTTTGCTTCAATGTTGAATACTGTATTTTAGGGTAATACGAACAAGACCCATATAATAAGGAAAATCCTAATTACAAAAGCCATACTGTCGGTTTTCTAAAAACCAATGACTTCAGACATCAGTGGAAATTGTGGTTGCCTCTTATGAAATCTTAAGAGTTCTAAATTTGGATTATGAAAAGTGATTACTCTTGATCACCTTTTCAAAGACTTTCACATGATCTACACTTTCTGCTTTAGAGAATCAAGAAACTGTTAGATAATGGAACTTTGCTTAAGTCAAGAAGGCATAAGAAAATGATCTACACTTTCTGCTTTAGAGAATCAAGAAACTGTTAGATAATGGAACTTTGCTTAAGTCAAGAAGGCATAAGAAAATCTGGATTTAGAAAGCAGATCTAACAGGGGCTTATTTGCATTAATAAAGGTTAATTGTCTTTACAATTTATTTGAGCATTCAAGTATTTGGACATCCTCATTCCTCTAAATTAAGGATAGTCTGAGTAAACTTAGAAATAACCGAATTTACCCCTTATATAAATTCACCTCAAACTATCAACTTATGTATTGAACTTGCAATATTCAGGTTAGTCAAACTCTCTAACAACGAATACATCTTTCACATCAACAGACATTTCTAGGAACTGAGGCACAACGGAATAACATAAACCAACAAGTCCACAAAGTGCACTGTCTGTCACTTACACTGCAACTTCAGTTTAAATGTTCATTCTCAAGTGTCTCAACGAAAGATATTGTTTTTTCTTTTTGTATGGTACAGTCATTCGCTAAGAGCTTGGCGCCTCCAAAATTAAGCTCCATTTAACTCCTGAGTCAAACACTGACATGGAGTATCCGAGGCGGATCAACTTTTTGTCAATATTTAATCAGAGGCTCTGGAAGCGGAAGAAATCTCAGGATAACCACTTAGTCCTGTTCTCAGCCTTCAGGCAGCTGAGATTTAATCCCTAGGAACAAAGACCCTCCTCCCCTTAGGGAAATGTGTGAGTACGTTAGTGTTTAAAGGCCTATAGTGGCCACAGAGGCAGGCACTTCCGTTTGGGTGAATTAAAAAAAATTCTAGTAGGGAGTCGAGAGTGACACAATGTTCCTCGTCACGGGAAGGTGGACTGGGGGATCCCAGCCACCTTCGCTGACGCCAACTCGTGGAAAGCAGCCAAGAATCTAGGATCGGGGCGAGGCGTCCCAGGCGGCTCTATGGAAACGAGAGACGCGGGTGGCCTAGCGCCTACCAGGCGGGGCGCCGAGCCGCGGAGCTGCGCAGGCGGAAGCCAGGGGAAGAGGCTCAGCTGGCACTGCAGAGGCGCTCGGCCGCCGTCCCCGCGGCGGCGCGGGCGAGCGGGCGGGGGTCTGCGGCCATAGGCCCCCAACTCGGGCTCCGAGCGCGGCGAGTCCGGGTCGTAGAGACGAACCGCGGCTGCTGAGAGCTCGAGACCCGGGCGCCGTGGCCGCTCACCCCGGCCCCTTCCCAGCCTCACAGCCGGGGAAGGCAGCAACTTCGTGGGCACGGCCCGGGGAAGAAACATCCCTCACGGAGTCAGGGTACACCGTGTCTTCCGAGCTGAGCCACTTTACCTTCCCGACCGGAGTGTCTGGGCTGCTTCCCTCGGGCGGCGGCGGCGGCGGCAGCGACAGGGGCGACGACTGCCGCGGCATCACTCGCTGCTTCACTAATCCGGGCTCTGGGAAATAATTTCCCGCCGCGCGCTCGACGGCCCCGGAAGCGATAGTACTACTTCCGGGTGGTTGTCAGTGACGCTCCGTAGTCGTCGCCAGGGTGGTCTGAGGGAGAGCCGAGCTTGACTTTGGCCGGCGGGTCACGCTCCTCTAGGATCAGCGCCGGAGGTGGAAGACTGGTAAGTGATTTTCCTGGGTTGTCCCCTGGGCCTGAGGTTTGCGGCCGGCCGGGGATCCATGCAGCATCTTGGCCTGACTGAAAAGTGGCCGAGTGTTGAACCAGGAGTCCCCATGCAGCCTCGTGGTGCTTGACCCTCTGCGACTGCGGAAGGCCCCTGGCATCCCGGTTTCCCGTCTTCTCCACTCGCAGTGTCTGTTTCCAAGTTGGAACTCGACTTCGGGTCCCCGGGTGTTCCTGGACGAGGCCGAAGACACCGAGTACCTCCACTCAGCTTAGAGCCGAGTCTTTCTGCCAATGATCACGGAATGCCCTTACTATCTCTTATTGGCAGGGTTTGGTCACTCGATTCCCTTTCCTGGGTACCTCTTCCGTAGTTCTTGGATGCCTTGCCTGGGAGACAGGCAGTCGGCCGAAGAGGATACCTTTTACAAGCATATGGGAAGTAAAAGGGGTCGTTTCTGATTTCGAATTTATTGAACATTCCCGCTGCAGTTTGAGTTGAGTGAGAAGAATGGTCTTTGATTTCTTGACTGTTATGAACTAACGAGATAGGAGAGAACAAGCTTATCATTTCATGCATGGACTTTAGATGCACGTTTTGCATTCTGGAAACCAATGAGCAGTAAGTAGGCGTGCTTTCAGAAAGCAGTGCTTGTCTTCTGCTCTAGGCTTCGTTGATAATGAAGGATTCAGGAGAATTTTGGATGGAGGTCTGACGTAGCCCGAATAATTTTAAAGAAAAATTGCTTTCGACAAGGATAATGTGAGGAAAGGTGCTCATTTATTTGAATATTTGAAAGATGTGATGTGGTGATCTTAGTGACTTCTCTTTCTTGAGAACTACAGTTTCTTCAGGTAAGTAGTTTTCACTCAACACTTTATACTTAATCACCTTTTTTTCTCCATAAGAGGCAGCTGATTGATTTTTTTTCAAAACAGCCAGTTCAAGAAAGAAATCTAGGTATTACTGCATTTTTCTTGATGAGTATGATCCTGTAAAGAAAAATGCAGTATATTAAACTAAAGGCCCCTGGTGCATCAGGCAAGAGTCTTGTTTACTGTTTTGAGAGTAATGTAATTGTATTTAGGATAGCACATTGATCTGCTGACCTCCTTGTTAGTTAATAATTAAACAAATTTATAATCTCCCCATTATTCTCCTTTTGCCATTTTATTAAATCTTCAGTTTTTTTCTTTATTTCTCTAGTTGAAAGTATTGTAAATTATTTCAGGGAAATAATGTATTTTTTCTATAAAGCAACTAGCTTTTAGATAGTGTTTTATTAATCACTGTAGTGTTTTATTAATCACTGTTCAATTTGTGATTTCTCCATTCAAATTAATGTGGCCAACCACTAATAGCCACCACAAGTAGCTACTGTCTGCCAGGCACTTAACATTTATTATTTTAATTAATACTCAACAAAAAAGAAAATCATATTACCGCTATCTTGCAAACACACTGAAACGTAGAGGTTATGATTTCCCACAAATTGTACAATTAAATGGCACAACTGAGATTTGAATCTGGTCTACCTGACTAAATTTTGACTCTTTTTACTGTGCTCTATACTTCTCATAAGAATATAACATAACAGAATCATTGTTTTCATTCTCAGGCAAAACTAGACAGATAGTATGTACCATTTAGAAGTCAAATGGCTAGCAAAACTTGAGGATAAAGGGATTTAAGGAATATGTTCATTACTATAAGGTAATTTTGACACATGAATAATAGTTTCTTTGCTGCCTTGATCATTGAGCAGTTTTAACATCCTAATTCAAGCAAGTGTCTGTACATTGGCATACTTGGGAAAAATACAGGAGATCTAGAGACCATCAGCATATTGATCTCTAAGTTCAGGATATCAGCTTGCTGACTATCTCTTTAGGCAGCTTTTCACGTGTATTTGTGTGTGTGTGTGTGTGTGTGTGTGTGTGTGTGTGTGTAGAGAAAGAATGAAGAAATGAGCTCAAGTTTATAAAACTGAACTTTGTAGTGCTTTGTAATGAATAATTATTTATTGATTATTAGCAAACCTGTTCTGTTCCATGTAACCTGCTCATGTAACCCTCAGACAGATGGTAATTATCACGTTTTCAGGGAATATGCTTAATTAAACCTGCCCATTTCAATACCCTATTTTATGTAGAGAAATAGAAAATAGTCTAATTGTCAGGGAATTTACTAAAATCTAGTTGAAATGACCAAACTAGAAATGACATAGAAATAAATTCCAAAGAATATCCCATTTTACAGAAAGACACAACCTAGCCTCAGATACTGATGTTTATTTGATTATGTTGCATTGACTTATCTGTGTAAAAGATATTTGCTTTGCATATCCCATAGCCAAGATCTCAGGACTTTTTCTTTCTGTTAAATTTAAGTGCTTTTGAAGGTTGAAATTATATCTGTTTTATTCATCACCTCATACCCAGCATCTAGCACTGTGCCTGACATGTAATAGGAACTCAGCAAACATTTTTTGAATGTTTTAAAATGTTATTTATCCACAAAGAAGTATTTGTACATGTATTTTTTTTAAAAAGGACTTGCCACATAAATACATAAATGCTTATTTATTGTTACTTGCCTTGATCCTGAAATGTCCACAGTCATCTGTAAAAGGCACAGTGGTATTCTGCAAAGAAGACTTAATTGTGAGATAGCAGATGACGGAATACCTAATACTTATTTTGTGCTTACTCTCTACTTTGCAGTGTTAAATTAATCCTCACAGCACTATGGGGTAAGTATTATCCTCCTTTCGTGGATGGGAAAACCAAGGCAAAGATAAGCTTTGTAAATTGTCCCAGTTTGTACACAGTTATGAAGTACCAGAGTTGTGATTTGAACAAACACATCTGATTCCAAAGGCCATAATCTTAACCACTTTGCTATACTGCCTCTAATTGGATATTAATCCTGACTCAGCTGCCAAATGTGTGCAAAGGGAAATGTATTTCTCTGGGGATCATGTTTCTTACCTATAACACATAGGTGCTGGTTGGATTAGGTGATCTATAAGGTTCCTTCAACTTCTAAAGCCCTCTGACTTTAGTTGACTCCCAAGTATTATCTGAATGTCGCAGTTCTAATATGCTAGGAAGCCTCCTTCAGTTTTCATGTTTCAGGTGGACTTTTACATATGTTTATGTTTTCCATATTGGTATATACACAATCATGTTTTTGTAATGAAGAGAACAGATCAGAGTTAAAAAAGAAATCACAATCATGCTTTTTTTAAATCATCTATGACACTTATAATATGTTACTAAACTTTTGTGAGCCTGTGTTTTCATATGTAAAATGGATGCATAGGACTGCTATCAGGGTTAAATAATTGACATACAAAGCCTCAAACACATTATCTGACACAAAATTGCCATTAAATAAATATTGATTTTTTTCTTCTTCAATCTTGTGAGGATAAAAGATTGGTGGATATATAAATGCTTTATAAATTAGACAAAGGTAAAGAATCTTTTCACTTACAATCTACTAAGAGAGATAGAGTTATATATGCAGATAGTTATTATAGAAAAGACAATTTAATGTATCATTGAATGCAAAGCATGATGAGAATGCAGAGAAAATGAATTTTTCTTTCAAGAGGGCAGATGAGGAAAGGCCTCATGAAAAAGATGATATTGAGTTTCTGCCTTATAGGATGGCAAGGATTTTGTTAGGTGAAGGAGAGGGAAGAGTATTCTATTAGAAGATGCAAAGGTGTCAGAGAATAGTGACTAGGTCACTTTGGATATACATGATGGGTAAAGGCTAATAATAAAGCTAAAGTAAAAAGGTAGGTTTGGAATGAGCTATAGATAAAGTGTGGGCAAGTTAAAGAAGTTAGGGTCTTCACAATAAGCAATGGTTTGTATATATAACTGGGATGGGGTGGAGGGTAGAATTGCCATTTGTTTTCTTTGTTATGGACAAATCCTCATTTGTTCCACAAATACTATACAAATAAGCCAAAAAAGAAAAGGAATGAAAATTGCCCATAATCTCACCACTCAGAAATAACCATTCATCATTTTTCTCTATATTATTACAGATTTATGTATTTTTTAATAAAATTATGTAATACTATGCATATTGTCTTGTGATCTGCTTTTTTCCCCAGGTGAAATGCCATGAATATTTCCATGTCAATAAATTTTCTTCTACAAAATAATTTTTAGAGCCTGCATACTACTCAATTTTATGAATATGTTATAACTTTTAGACTGACTTCTTACTATAAAATAATAGTACAAGTTTTTGTAGCAAAATATTTTGACATATTCATATATATTTCCTTTTACAAATTATAGAAGGAAAAATGGTGTCCCACAGGTCTTAAGCACATATAACACATATAATACTTCTGATGTGTATGGCCATATTAATGAGGTTTTTCTTTTTTTTTTAAACCAGGGTTAAACTTGATGCAAAATGCAGAAAATATGAAAGGGTTTATAATGATACATCAGCCTGCCTCTCACCCCTTTTTCCTCCGGAGTCACAGCTAGCCCATACAGCTCCTTGAATGCCTTAGAAAAGGGTATACTCTTCTGAGGATCCTTTTTTGGATATACACTGTTTGCATATCTGATACTACTTTTGTAAGGATTGGAAAAAGGCGTCCTTCCCTCTATGAGAATAGCCCTGAAGGACTATTCTGGCTGGGTCATCAAAGTATGGACTAGGTTTCAGCCCCTACTTACCTCTCTACTTTGAGCACTATTATGCAGGGCACAACTATTATGCACAACTCATGAGGTAGCCCAGCCAGTGTTTCATTCTCCGGAGGCACTACAACCAGTTTCTCATTAATCCTTTCAAGGATGAAGGGTTGGCTTTTCATCAGATCCAGATAAGCATCTTACATCCCATTCCCATCTGTGTGGGTGTAGGCATGTGTGTAGAGGGACATGTAAGTTTAGGTACTAAGAGAGTACAGGAGTGAAAAGATAAA